ATCTACTAAGTATGTTATTGCTGAGGAGAAGAAGTAGACGAATTAAATTATAGTTTTATTTTATTGTGACTTTTTAAATAACGTTTAACAAAAATATAACAAGTTCTTCGATAATTCCCGTTCGATTAATGTTCACCTCGTTCAGACGCAATTGTACGGTCACAGAAAATCGGTCTTCCACTGGAACTGTTATTTGTTTCTTACCTAAGACGACACACACTTTCGTAGCAAGATCGCTGCCAAGTAAAATATATTTGATTTGAGCATTAAGTAACTTTTTTCTTAACTAAAGAAGGTTATAAATTTTTCACAAATTATTTTTTCTATAAGATCCTGTTCAGAACTACGCATGAGTTTTACACATTTAGTTACCTACACATCTACTTATTGATAAGTAAAACTCATCTAGTTACACAAATAAACAAAATGTCAACAGTATTTAACTTTAATTCCGATTTAATTCGCGGTGAATTTGCTCTTTCTGGACAAGGTCTATCTCGTGCATGTTTCGTAAGGGATCACATCATTAGGAGTTCGTTAAATAAGACATGTAAAATAAATCGTAAATAAATATAAGACAACATCACATACAAAACGCAGTTCGCCTGACTCGCAGGATGCTCAGAACACGTCACTATATTTTTGACTATATTTGCGAAACGATGGAACGGAGAAGAAAAATTGATGAGAAAATAGCACTTCCAGAAAGTTTCTGCCCCCGAATTAACTTGGGCATGATCTCTTGACATTGACTCTTTTGCTCGCATGATTGATAATTATTTTAGTATGATGGAACAATAAATGGACTAATTTTATGTGCTTACGTCATTTCATTATAGCCATGTGCGTGCGCGTTGAAACGTGATGTTTTATTAATTAATATAATTTACTTTTATAATTTACAGAACTATTCTTTCTACACATGATTATACGCAGTAATAAATTGATAAACGTATGGCACTGTATATCTGAAGTTACTGAGTTTTTCAAAGATCATAACGGTTAGGTTATATATAATTAGGTATTAAAACCATTTATGATGTTTGTTTGGGGAAACCGCCATTAGTCTATGCAAATTGTTGTTGTTAGTAAGTCTGTGACCTATGTCGATATCTGTCTTGTATTATATCTTCACGTTTATTACGTTCAATGATATCTATACGTAGAGAGCATCCGTAAAAGATCCAGAATCAAGCAATTACATGAGCAGTGTTGCCAATCAATAATGCACAAATTGTCTTTTGTCCGCTGTATATATTAACCAACATTGTGGCGAATGTTATGGCAAAGATAGATTATGATGACGTCCACACGTTGTACGATGTACGCCAACATATTGACCTATCCCAATCGCCACAATGTTGGTTAGTGTGTAGAGCGAGCATAATGTTAACCTTGGCAGTCAAATGTCAAGGACGATAAACATGCAGAAAAGCTTGGCAGCTACCGATTGACCACCGACCACACCGTTCGTGTAGGTATTGTAATCGCTTACGCTTATTTTGATTGTTTCATGCTTCGTTAACTTCGGTTGTTAAATTGTTAGTAATAAAAGCTTAGAATAATACTCTTTCATTCACGTTTCTTATTAGGGGTTAAAGTATGAAATTGCCGTTTTATTGTAATAGGTTCCTTGAATCGACATAGAATCTTCATGGTTTGAGGTTTTCGAAAGAAACTTTTTTCACATGGTTCCTATGATGTTCTTCTTTTAAAAAATGTGAAACATTTGAATATCGACTGTCAATTGTTTTTGTTATTCAACTTACCCGAATTCGAATTCACTTCAAAAGCGGCATCCGCTCAACCTTGAATTGGTAATAACGTTTAAGAAAGTGGATACTGGGAAAATTCTAATGATTTTGGAATACGAGATCCGACGCGGAAGTAACGCGGCAGAAACAGCCCGCAATATCAATGTTGCGTTTGGAGTGGGGTCTCCTGATAAACGCACCGTGCGATTTTGGTTTAAATTAACGCTTTTGTGATGGAAACTTTGACTTGAAGAACGAGCCACGAGGAAGACCGCCCAGACAGGCGGACAGACAGAATTAAGAGAGTTGGTGGTAGCCGATCCTATTCAAACTACCCAGGAATTAGCGGCATGGTTTAACATTCTCTTACCCACAATATTGACTCATTTGCATCAAATCAATAAAATAAAAAATACGAAAAATGGGTGCCTCATGATTTGACTAATCTGCAGAAAGAAACGCGTGTTGAAACTTGTGTTGCCTTGTTAAATCGGTATAGAAATGAAGGAATATTGGAGCGAATTGTGACATGTGATGAAAAGTGGATTCTTTATGATAACCGTAAAAGAAAAATGCAATGGCTGACCCCAGGTAAACGCCAAAACAGTGTCCTAAAGCAATACTTACCCATTAAAAGGCAATGATAACTGTTTGGTGGTCGCAGCATGGTGTTATTCACTATAGTTTTCACCGTTCTGGTCAAGCAATAACGGCAGATGTCTATTGTGCCGAACTCCGAACAATGTTGGTAAACTAGCAGTAAAACAGCCCCGACTCATGAATCGATCTTCACCATGATTGCTCCATGACAACGCGGAAACCAGTTCCAAAGATAATAAACATGTTCCTAGAGTAATTTCTATAGTCATAACGGGAGATTTCACAGAAAAGAAAAAAAGAGAGAGAATTTGTGGGTCACAACCTGGATTTTGCTTGAGTGACATCCAAACTAAGGCAGAATCCGTGGAACCTCGCTCGAATAACAATAGTTCTCACGAAACCGTTGAAACTGTTTCAATTCTTATATTCTAATGCCTCATAATTATACTTTCGAATGACATTAAAACTAATAATAAGAACAGAATAATTAAATAACTTCTTGCACTTTAAATAAGTAAGAATCAATATCTCAATGAAAATGAAATGAAAATCTTTATTGCGGCATTACCAGATAATATATACAGGGAGGAACAAAATGACCGACACAGCCGAAAGTTTCAAGTTAGGTTACATGCAAACGTTCATTTTATTTGACAAATATTTAAAAATAGAGGAGGTGTAAAAATGGAGTAAAAATTTTAAATTTTTAAGTGTTGACAGCCCTTTAACGCGCATGCGCCATATCGATTGTGCGCAGATTACAACGGACTGCGAAATACATTAATTTAATTTAATTATTTACCGATATCTTAATGATAGTCGATGCTGAAAATGTTCAATTCTTCTCTGAAGACAGCTAAGCACGCTCTTTTGCATGCCAGTGTATGCAAAAGATATGCACGCGCAAAACACATCACATTTCACACAAAACTAAACACTCAAGACGAACACTCTAGTATCTTATTAACAAAAATTCAATTAAAAATGCTCTAGAACAAAACAAAAATCGACAAAAAAAGACGCTTAGCAGCGGTGCGTCGGCGGCGATGCGGAACAACACTCCAGCGCAAAAGGTCGGCGGCGACTGAGCGGCCAGAAAATACCGACAATATTATAAAGCCGCCTGGCGGCTGGCTGGTGGGTGGAGCTTTGATATCGAGGGACGAACTCGGTTCACATTTTTTTATTCGTCTTTTGATATCACGCATTTTTTAATGTTCTTTTTAAATGCTATGTTAATAACTAATTCCTCAATGTTTTTAAAACAAAGTTCATTTGTGTTAATGATGAATCCCTGGAAGATTTGTGAGTTTATCGAGTTTAATTACCGAACCCGTTGTAAAAGGAGTATTACCCCATTCAAACAATTTTTTTGGAGAACTGCTCTTTTAAAATAACGTAGGTTAATGTTAGACTGATCTCTCTACAATAATTTAGGAAATTTTACACTCGGTTTCTTAATTGAGAATTTAAAGTTAAACCTCTCAAACTAACATCACTTAGTTTTCGTTTCCGATTTTAGTTTTTTAATGATCAGTTGATAGCAGTTTGATAAAACTAGGACTATTTGACTTGTGAAATTAAAAAAAACTTAGGTTATTGAGAATAAGCAGTAGAAATTTTCTACTTTCAAATCAGAAACCGGCTGCTAGTCTGTAAATCGATTTAAGCATTTTGACTGCCTTGTTTATTGATTGTCTGGTAGAATTTGCATGAATGCAGTCTTATAAATCACAAATTAGTTTATTTCGTTTTTAGAAATGAAGAAGTCAATGACCGTTTAAAACTTTTCCTAAGTACGTCCCAAAAACAGCTGACTCAGGGTTGAAAACACTCATTTTCTTTCAAAAACTTTGTATTTTAATATCTCCGAAACTATTTGACCTAGACTTATAATTTTTTTTACATCATATTAAAGACAAGTAGTACTCTCTAGGAACCTCGGGAGTGTCGGTCGTTCTGTTCCACCGAGTATTAATGAAACACTGGCTCCTGAATTTAAGAAACTTGTGTGTTGTGCCAGGTCCTTCCTTAAATTATAAACTTTGTTGGTATTGTTGAGTATCAGCGAACTAACAATTTATTAATTAAAAAAAAATACACAAAATTAAGTTACATCTGCAAATGAAATTAGCGAGTTACTATTGTGTGTGTGTGCGTGTGTGTTTTAGTATGTGTATGTGTGTGTGTTAACACATTAGGAGTTTTTCAGTACCTTCGTAATCATACTTTTGTAGCCAATCTCTTATAGGTTTTTTTATTAAATGGTGATTAAAAATTTTGCTAGTATAAAATTTATTGAATGAATTATATAAGTAAGGCGCCATATAGTAAAATGAAAGTAGGCGCAATATAACACGACTCTGAGAGACAGTTTCACGTAGAGCTTTCTATAGCTTGATATTTCGATACTCAAATATAAACGTGCAACATATATTTAAAATAGATAAATTTAATTAGTAAGATTAGTTCCTTACTGAACAGTGGCATATTAGCAGGTGAAACTATTTCGTATGACTACGTTCTAGTATATGTACAATTATAGGATTATTCTATATCTACCTTACGGACCAAGATGTATTCGCGAAGAATCAGGACAGACTGCGCCCGGCAATAGTATTTATAGTGGGTAGTATCACTTTGATGGGTTGCTTTATCAACGAAGGTTAAAAATGAAACAATCTGTGTAAAAGATATTATTAACATATAATTGTCAAAAATGATATCAAAAAATTTCTTCTCAATGACTACTTAAAATTACTCAAAATTCTCTTTATATCTCATAGTTAGGTAATTCTATGGTAACGATAGATCGGGCTTCCACTGGAACTATTATTTTCTTAGGGCCTAATACGATACACACTTCCGTGGCAAGATCACTGCAAACAAAAGGAAATTTTATTGAAATTCACCTCGTGATAGACAGTATCAAATTTCATACTACTTTGAAGGGAAATGGTTCGTCCGCATTTAATAAGAAAACTGGAGAAATGTTTTGCAAAGTTTGTTTTCAATTAATTAAGATTGGAAAACCGTTTACAAAGTACCAGACTGCGATTTAACTTACTTACTATATTTACTTACTCATTATAAAGAACAACGACCAGAGTATTTCTTGGGGTTAAAAAAGCTACATTTTCCACACGCGACGACCAGAAAGGTTTCTTTTCTGTCACTTTAATCCTTTGTGATCCTCTCGGCAGGAACTTGGAGAAGTGTCCGAGTGCGTAGTACATTGGCTGCTTCACAAACTCCTTCTTCTCTGGGAACACTATGACGGGGGAGTCTACGAAGTTGTCCACCCAGTTCGGACCTCCTTGCGAGTTGAGGCATAGATTCCAGTCGATCCAGCCTCCCACGTTGTTATTCAAATCCTAGTATTTAAGAATTAATATATAAATCACAAAAAGAAAACAATCCAAAAAAAGTCGAACGAACAACAGCTACGTCTTTAATCTAACTCAAAGGTGAGCAACTTGTGCTTATTCAATATAAAGTTGCGTCTCTCAAGTATCATTTACAAATTATAATTAAGTAATTTTTTATCGAGAACCCTTTAAATCACGTTGTTAGCGACTTCAACTTCGACCAAAACAGTGCGATATAGAAATATACTTAACGCCATCTAGTATTGCACAAAATATATAGTTTATGTTTTCTTTTATATATGAAATTATTTGTACTTAATTATATTCGAGAATATTTATTTCAAATGTTATTTTTGTTTTCAATTAGGTACTCAAATACCAATTTTTATGACAATATAAGGAAATCTTAATAAATAATATTAGATAGATATATTACAATGACCAATCGAATTGAAAACAATTATCGCTATGCTAACTTTTATTCCCCATAAACACTTTCACTTCAATTTGCATCTCCTTAAGTGCTAGGTTTCGGGATAAAATATAACCTATTACCTTTCTAGGGTCTTAAGCTGACGAAATACTAATTTTCGTCCAAAAACAATGAAGTTTCATACAAATTCCAAAAATTTGGTGGTATTTCCAAAAATCCGGTCTTAGTACTGCGTAATAAAACAAATGTACCCTCCAAATGTCAAGTCTCTACGATCAGCGGTCTAACCTGTGCGTTGTCGGTCAGTCAGTATGTCATATAAAGAAATTTGAAACGAAACCTTTCAATGCTCATTAATTACCGTGTAACTTTATAAATTGTAGCTTTTGACTCTTTCGTCTCATAAGGGACCTCTGTCTAGTTCATTGCGATGATAACCAGACACCTGTAATCCCAAGTCCTCCTCACTTTCTTACCGGCTAACCCTTGAGGTTCCAAGGACAAATTTTAACTTATTATTTTAAGTAAAATCTACATTCATCTAGAAAATAATGGGTTTTTCATAGAAAATTTATGATATATCCGAATAATTTTTATAATAATATGTATATTTGTTTATTTAAGCCTTTAAAATTCATTGAGTATAACCTGGTTCTGAGGTTTATGCATTTAATATCTAACAGCTCTCTATTTTCATTTTTCATTTCATTTAGTAAAATTAAAACTAGTAAACAAAAAATAATATATAATTTTATTAACTTACATCCAAAATATCTACAGCATACGATTTAGCCCTATCCCATGATCCAAGTTTAACTTTTTCTTTTTCCCAAGGAAAGGATCCTGCAATAAAAAGGTAATAATTTATATTTATGTTCTTCTCATCATTTCAATCTTTCGCTACACAGAAAGATTGAAAGTCGTTTTAAGCTTTTATTTAATTATTTCCTGTGTCTATTAGTTTTATTTTACAGCCCAAAAAAATAATATGGGTATGTTCCGATATACACTGCGAGCACTGCGCAGTGGTCGTACTGCTGAAAAATCCGTTCCGTTATGGACTGCCAATACACTGCTACAGTACCCTAGGGAAAATTATGACGTCATAAATTGCCGCCATATTTGTACTGTGAGCACTGGAGATTTCGAGGTAAGGTGCTCGCAGTGCTTTTGATCACGTGATCAGTCGAAACAGAATCAGAAAATGATAAGTTTCTAAATAAACATAAAAAAACTTACGTTTATTATAAGATGGATTTAATTGTTAAATAATTTTTTTATACACAATTTTATAATATTTTCTTTTGAAAAGAGGGAATCTTTGTATTATATTTATACCTTGCATTAACAAATTTGAAAATGGCGCCAAAAATAGGATTAACAGTATACTGGACTGCGTTCCGTTTTAAAATGTCACCAGTATAACTAGCTATAAAGGAACGGGCTTCCAGTATACTAAATTCTGTCTGAACAGTATGACGTATACTAAATACGTCATACTGTTCAGTGGTCGCAGTGTATATCGGAACATACCCTATATAAAGTAGATTTATCACCTCTTTGCCTCAATTAATGACAATAGAGCCTAAACAACAGAAAACGAATACTGTCTATCGACCTTTATAACTGGTACGACGATCGCCATCTTTTATTCATTTCATTTTCATTTTACATGTAAAATTTAGTTTATTTCCTTGACATTGGCAGAATTGTGCGAAATGCGCAGATAAGCCATTAATTAAAAAAGAAGAAAATGAAGAACTGTGGTATGACTGACACCTGTCTTATCCATATTTTTCTTTCGTTGCGAGCCAGATAACCGAGTTATTATTGTGTACTTTTAGTTTCTACAATGAGTGAAATAAAAAGTAGCGTAAATATGTTAATTTAATTAAGTCTTAGAACTATCATATACTAAATTTCATCAAAATTCGTCTAATTACAAACGTACATAAATACTCACAAACTTTCTCATTTATAAAATTAGTAGGAATACTAAAACCGTTACAAAAATGTTTGAATACCGAATAGCTAGTTCGAAAACTAACTCCATAACCAATCCAATTCCAAAAGTGCTTCTACTTTTCGGCCATATTCTAATATATCCTCCTCCTTACCTTCACACGCTTCTGTAGATATAATGAACATGTCAGGGTAATTATCGGTGATCAGTGAGAAAATGTCAGCTGCGATAAACATATCAGTATAATAGTGGACCGCCACGCCATCTATGTACTGTAACGCTTCAGGCACTATTGATAACATCTGTGTAAAATAAATACATTTAGAACACAAAGTATGCTATGGCAAAGACAATATAGATAATTATATAGTTTTTGACATAAGGATTCAAAATAGAAATTTAAGAGTAATAGAGTCTAAAAACAAGATTCATGTTGGAGTGGTAAGCTGAATATAAATTACTAAAATAGTTGCGTGAACTTCGTTTTATTGTTTGCACTTATATTCATTAATTTCACTGCAAATTTCACGTGAATTCGACCAGTTTCACAATGTATGTATTAGTTTCATTACACTAGAGTAGTTTCATGCGATAAGCATATCTTCGATTAAACAAGTGTCACTCAACGGTAATTTCACTATGATTTACATAACGAAAGTAAAATCGCAACACCTGAAATGGAGTCAGGTGTATCAGAGATATGATTGATTTCACAATATTATGTAAACAATACATACGTCTGCTAATCCATACGAAACTAGTTTCACATATGTACTGAAATAAGTTACGTGAAACTTATTTCTGTAGGTCTGTTTTCATATGATTCAATCGTGTGGTGTGATACGATTATTTGGACCCAGCATAAAAATAAATTACATGTAATAACTTCGATGAGCTATGCTTTGATAGATCACTCGGTCGCCTCAACTTACCATAGTAATGTAGAAAGGTATTGATGCCCTTTGATCATCATGCGTCAGTATTTTTAAATTGGAAAACGCAGATCTTCTGACAGTAGGTCCCAAGTTATTAGCTATCCATTTGCCCTAAAATGTAAAATTCCAATTATAAATATTCTTTCAAAATGACAAATGAGTAGTGTGCGTCAAAATATCTAGCTGTTTTCCGGCAACTTCGGCAGCGTTCATTAAAGCGTTTGTCACCCGAGTATGATATAGACTTGCTTTCGTAGCTGAAAGAATTTTTAAAATCAAACCAGTATTTTCGCCTCTGTTGCACAGGTCATCTTAATGGGTATAATTTTAACAAAATTATAAAACTATTCGAAATATTCCAGTAATGTTTCCTACAAAATTAAAACTACTTTAATAATTTGTATTAAAGAGAAACTACTGAAAAGAGAGAAATAACACCACACTTACATAAAATCGTATAACAAAGGTGGATACATCATCAAGTTTTTGAGCGACCTCAAAAAAATTGTCGGTGCCAGCGGTATCGTTCGTAAGAAGTAAATCAACACTATCAGAAAATGGTTCTTTGCTTACAAGCAAATTAGGTTTAAAGCAAATCGTACGAAAAGTAAGAAGAAAATCACGAAATACCAGTAATAGATTATAACCAACTAATTCTAGTTCACTAGGACACTTAAAACTACAAAATCGGGATTACTAAACTTACCAGTTCAAATGGATTCCATCCGAGACTGTTAAATGGTGCTAATCCAAAAACACCGTCAATCGGTTCATTTGTAGTAGTAATGCCCCAAATTGGCACGCCTCTCTTATTGTATTCCTCTACAAATCTGAAAAGATAAATTTCATTATCATCTATAGCCTGTTACTGGTTTGCTAGGGCCCAGACCTTCGGCAGACAGCCTTCTCCATGGGGAAAATACATTTAATATACCATAAACTTATCACGCGAGTTCAGTGTGAAACGGTGAATTTTGACAACTGCAGATTCACGCGAGATAAACAACTTAACAACTTTCAAAGCACTCGAGATATTTATAATATCTTTGTCTCCTGGCTGAGGACCTAAAAGCTTTAACTACTGTCTCGAATCTCGACGAATTTCTTTAGTGACATCTTTTAATACATCAATATAGCAAAGAACAAAAATATTTTTTCTTAATTACTCGTACAAATCAAAGATATTGTTGAATGTCTTACTTGAGGTGATAATCTGCATATGTTTGATAGTACTCCGGTTTAAGCTGACTAACATTGCCGTATACCTGGTTAGTCTTCATCCAAAGAGGAGGAGACCAAGTCGAAGCCAAAATATATACTGGCTCTACGGCCACCTTCATTATCTCTTTGATCATTGGGATCTGAAATACATACTCAGACTTATAGATAACAATAATGCCATCCGTCGGAGTATAAATTAAATAAAACGTTTACGAGTAGATAGACTCAAATATCCAAGAGTTTCGAATGCTTTGTGCTAATCTACACATTTTACAGATGGAAAACCAAGTCATAATATATCTTGGAATGGTCTATTGAAATAAAGTGATGCTAATGTCTACGTTAAACTAAATACGCAAGTTAAAGCTTAAACACAGACAATTTTTAAACCTTTCAAAAAACAAACAACATGAATAAAATATGATATTTTCTATTCCACTCCTGTGAATTCTCATTCATTGTTGATTTACATCATATTTTTTAATCAACTGTAACGGTCTTTTGCCAAGTAATGGCCAAATCAGTATTACCTTGTAATTATAATCTTCATACGACAGAGAAAAATTGCTGAGTGTGATATCATCTTTGGGTGCTTCATTGTAAGTATACGGGTGGGTGGAAAAGTCACACCCACCTATAGGTACTCGTAACATATTGTACTGCAGCCCAGAATTACTGAAGTAGGAACTGAAAAGAAAATATCGGCATATTTATGAACTCATTTCTCATGGATAGAATCACATAGATAGAACATGGTATAATCGCTACGCAAGTACAATATGGATTGGTGGATGTGAACGACAGAAGATGGAGCCTAGACCAAGGATACAACGTTGCTTCTGAAGCACAGAAAAGATCACCCTTGCAGAAAAGTAGAGTTTATCTCTAGTTAGTTACGCAGTAGAGCTACCGGTTTCAATTACCGGTCGGATCAATGAAGAAAATTTACTATTCTATATTGTCTCGGTTCTGATTGTTACTTGCATTATTTGACCCTTACATTGTATAAATCCGATTCTCCATTGAGCAATGTGATGTTATCCAATATTTTTTTTTCGAAACCTCCACGATTGATAAACAAAAATATTTAATAGTAAACTAGCTGACCCAGCTGTGCGTTCTCGCCTCAAGACAAAAACTGTCCTATGTTTTAAGTTAAACCAAATTACAGATACATGTGAAATTAGGTGAAAATCGATTCACAAGTTTCGGAATTTATCAATGATGTACATCATGACACAGTCCGGATTGACAGCCTGAAGTGGTAATGGTCAGGGCATATAGTTTATGAAATAGATGGCCGGTAAATTCCTCGAATGGCAACTACTGACCGAAAAACAGAGACACAACATGGACCGACGATCTGATCAGAATTACCGGGAAGCTTTGGATGAAAAACGCGCGCAATCGATCATCCTTGTGATTTATGGGAGAGGCCTTTAGTCCAGCAATAACGTTTTCCGTCTAATATGATAATGCTGATATCATTGTGAGATGAGATTTTTATATATTTATGGCTTAATGGTAATATAGAACCTACTCTATGAGGTTATGCTTTAGTCGAGAGTCGGTAAGATTCAACCAGTTGATGGAAGCTGCATCAGTTACTGCGCCTCCGAAGCCGTAGACCGACTGGTACTTTGTGTTTGGGTCCAAAGTCAGCGTTATTATGTCTTTGTCTGCAGCAGAAGTGTAACTTTATCATACGCCATAAGTTTGTGAGAAGCAAATGAAAGAACATGAATTAATAAATGAAATTCGAATTAGAATTTAATCTTAGAATGTGATTATTATAGTAAACTCTAGTTTTCGGAATTCCAATAGTTACCTTCGTTCATTCAATGCCGTATCTACACTACAAGTTATTCGTGGCCAAAGATCAGAAAAATCAGATAGCAATTTTGTTACACAAACTAGACTAAAATGTAGGTTTAGTTCTGACAAACTACGTTTTAAGGGTTTCATACCTTAAAAGGAAAAATGGGACCTCAGGATCTAATTTTTTCTGTCTGTCCTTCTGCAAGAGCCTTTATTTTGAGATTGGAGTTAATAAATTGAAATAAAACCAATATACACAGGTCTACAATCAATTAACATGAAAAAGATATTAAAGTTAAAATATTTGAGTGGTTCAACTGAATTTTTCTTAACATTAAAATAATGAAAAAGCGCCGTTCTAATAACTTATAAAACATTCTCAAACTCATACTGACCAACAATTCCATTATATTGTAAATATTGCGTCGTCTTTGAGAACCTCGAACCAGCCTGAAATTTAAATGTCATTGAACGGTAAGTATTCTCCATATCGTGGAGTGAAAGGTAAATTGGATTATGCGATTGTTTTTTGGAGATATTGAATTATACATAAATATGAAAGTAAAATTTGCCGATCCCAGTTATGTTTCCATATATAAATGACACTTAGACCACTAACTAATTAGTTAAAACCTTTCGGGTGAAAAGCTAGTATAAGCGATTTTGGATTGGTACATACTTACGTAGACTTTAATATATTGATATGATTTGATTTAATGAATATTTCTTTAAAGACTAATGTTACAAAAAAAATATTTTAAACGTTAACGTTGATTTTCTGAACATTAAATCTAAATTTAATGAGGTTCTACTTTTTGAACTATTTTTAATGTAGGCAAATCAAATAACCATTATCACTTACTTCGGAAGATGTGTAAATGATGGCTTTGCCAGAAGTAGGTGTCTCCCTGACGAGTTCGTCGCAGTAGGTAGTGTTGCATACACATACCACTGACTGGCCGGGGATAGGACGCGCGTTACAAGATTTTGCTGTTGTTAAAAAGTATCATTATCAGCATAAAACAATAATATATTACTAAGAAGTGTAGAAAAATAATAAATAAATACCTATAAGACAATATCACTCAGATTCCAAGATGAGTGGCTAAAGCCCTCGCACTACGGAGTATCTGAGACAACAAAAGTAGCACATCACCCAAAACCGAGACGATATAGAAAACTCCATTATCTACATTGAGCCGACTGGGAATCGAACCCGGGACATCAGTGACGGTGACGCCTTGAAACCGGCGTGCGAACCATGCGACTACAGTTGTAGTATAATATTGTGAATAGATACAAAATGCACCTAAGTAGTAAAAATAATATTAAATTTCTCTTGTATATCACGACCCGCACTTCTAATATTGAACTTATTGAACTTACATCATAATCAGACTATGTATAGAGGGTCAGCGTTACGGTTACTCAGTACTAGGATCCCGTTAGATAGCGATTCCTCAAAGGTAGCCCGCGAAACCTTGGGGTTCCGTAGAAGGATCATAGTGACCCTTCCACGGAGCCCTTGTAACCCTTGTATTCAGTCCAATAGTTATATAAAACATACGTAGAAAAGACTCATTATATTTAATTCCGACTTCGTACATAATGCTTACAATATTATTTTTATACCTATATCTTTTTCTCAAGTCTCACATGAAAACAAAATATTGAAACAACTAGGCAATAAGTATTATTGGTCTAGTTCATTTTTATTTATACATTTAATACCTATTTTATTTATATATCTAATATACCATAAACATATTTAACTTAATAAATAAATTTACAATTAATTAAGTCATTAGTTATATTTTTTATTTTATCTAATATACTTTAAAATCCCTGCCGCAAGGCTAAGCAAATGAATGAAAGCCAATGTTACCGTTCTAGCAATTTAAAAAAAAATAGCGGTTCTAGGATATTATAGCATTGGCGAACTTCTTCAAACGTTTCGTTTAATGTTGGTCTCACTCACACAAAGTAAACATTTGTGAGATAAAATACCGAGTATTCGATAATTACCTATAAGTATTTTATTTCTTTGTTTCACTTCACATTTGCAGTTTTGTTCTTAAAATCTACTTAAAATTAATGATATTTTCAGTGATCAACCTATTTGCGTTATGGAAGTTCAACATTATAGAAGAGAATAGGAGACTAATGAGGATTTCAAATATTTGTTAAAACCTGTACCAGCTATATCAACTAAAGCGTTTTGTTGTTACCGTATGCACAGTAAATTATATTTTTTTATTATTATAATTTGTTAAATTATTTTATTTTTCAATAAATAAATATATTTTTAGTTTAATCTTTCCAATGTCATGTTTATAGCCTCTCCATCACGCCTGCAGTGTAATCCTGGTACAGCTGTAGTTTTGGTATTGTTAAACAAAAAACATTAGCGACATCTAGCGGATACTTAAGAAATAAAATATCCATATCGAGCGGAACTAAAAGGACGTCTAGGACCATAAAATCTTGTAGAACGGCAACAGTTATGAAAGCTAGTGGTAATTAGCCGACTGTGAATTTACAATGTGCGGATTCTATATACGTAGTAAATATTTATTATTATTTCACTGATTTGCGGTTGAATGAATGAATGAATGAATGAATGAATGAATACTTTTATTGTACACCATAATTAAACAAAAGGAGAATCGATACAATTTGGTGGTACAATCGGCTCTCTAATTATATTCTCTAATTATACATTTTAATATGTAGTTAATAATTAGAACAATGAATATAGCTTTTCTTTTAAGTTAATTACCTGAAATGTATTAATAAATATACCACTGCATTGTCACTTTTTTATATTTACGTTATGTTGAAACAAAGGCTTCCTAAAAATACTAAAATACTACTACACTACTTTAATAGAAACATTTCTATCATAAATTGTCACGTAACTGAAATATTAACAGTTCAAGATAGTCGTATGATAGCATCTCGGAAACGTGACGATTGGAAATTCATATATTTACCTATTTACAATAATGTAGATTATTGTTACGATTGATACACAAGGGTCAATTGAAAGTAACTGCAAAGTCTAAAATTACCGGCTAGTCGGACTTCAGCAAGGGTTCCGTACCATAATCTATAAAATGGTAAAAACACGCATGTTGTATGGCTCCCATATTGGGCAATGATTGGCACGTTCGTCTTTCATAAGATTGTAAAATGTACTATCTCGAGTTCCTGCGTGCTATTATATCTATCACATTTCATCAGTTCACAATCTCCAATGAAACATATCACCAGTCTAAACACCCCAATAAAGATAAATACATCAAAATTCTAAGAACTGAACCTAATGCCATGAGATTTAAGAACAAATTCAATTGAATTTTATACTCACCGCTTATAGTAGGGAGTGCAAACAATACGAAAATCATAACACTCCTATATACCAGCATGATGCTAAGAAACGAACAGGAATATACTGCGATAATATAAAAGATATATACAAAGTACTATTTCACTAAATACATACGTATTTATTGATCATTGATTATACGATTTAGGATAAAGGATAACGTACGGCTTGAACCGCAGCTAAGACCCTACTGACGTAATATATCTTCCTCATTCATAATTTTAATCATTGTCCCCTACTATGAGCTTTAACCGACTTCCAAAAAGGAGAAGATCCTAACTTGGACAGCATATTTTGGTGTGTTTCGCGTCAATTATTTTTCTTCTCAAATAATTTACGGATTTCGATGATTGTGTTTCTTTTTTTAAGTAGTTTAAAATAAAAAGAAATATATTGAGGGCCCGTAAAAAAAATAACTTTCAACAATTAAACTGAAAATTTCAAATT